CCAGAGACGATTGAATTTTGGATTGCCTGAGTCAGCAGGTAGGTAGGATTCTCGTTTTGTCCGTTTGCCGCCCTCAATTGGCAAAAATGATTCTCAACTACATCCTGATTGATAACAGCTGGTTTTATGATTGATCCAGGAAATTGTAACAGCTTGATTTTCACTAAAGAGATCATTCCCAAGATCATGGCTTGTAAATCAAACCATAGTTTGATTTACAAGTTTAAATTCGTCACTCTTCAAGACACTTGCCTTCCACTTAGAGAAGTACGACAACGTAGAGAGCAAACTCTGAAGTCTAGTGTCGTTAGAGTCGTAGATTGCTTGTTTGCTTGAGAAGAATTCTACCATAAAACTGGTATGCTGTAAGGACATGATGCTCCCATTCAGTCGCGACGCATGTTCTTGGTTTTCAGAGCATTCCAAATGATTCTGGTAAGCCTATACATATTTATATAGAAGTAATGATTGAATAAACAGTTCATACTAAATGTCCTATAGCTATGCAAATTATAGGTTATTTTGATTATTCAAAATATGAAATTACGTTATTAGTTTTTGTCATACACACGTACTTTCATTAAAAAGAGCATCTTTTTGTCCAGAACATCTTCCGCCAAGTTATTTCTCATACGTGAGCTCGGTGTTAACTGAAAGTGATCCTCCTTTAGTTTTTCATGAATAGGGCAGGAATGTTGACTTTGGTCCCACAAATATGCATCCTTCCAAAACCGCCAAAATATATGATCATCTCCATTTTTCAAGCATCTTGCTGACCCAGAGGCCGAGCTTTTCTCTAGATTGTTTCTCAACTTTTTGATATTGTGCTAGTAAAAACAAAGACTAACATTAGTATTATTAGGTATTGAATAGTTATTATACCTTTAGAATGAAATAATTTGTATACTTTACAATCCATCAAAAATATCATGGGATCCTCTGTGAGCATATTGTACGATAAGAAATTCATTTCAACGGGACTGAAGGAGGAGAAATGTATATTTATGAACTGTCGGTTTGACTCGCCTCCATCACAAATTGCGTAATAGATACTAAAAAATAATAGGACATATAGCCGTAAGTATTATATCTTATTTTAATACGAGGCTCTTTGAAGCATATGGTACCTAAATCCAGCTTTTTTCATCTGTAAGACACCTTCCCAGAATTGGATGTATAGAATAGTAGGTGGGCATGTGGTGGTTGGAAAGTGTGCCACTGGAAATCGGAAACCACAGTCGCTTATCTGCCTCGTACCCAGGCGTCTCTTTGTAAAAAAAACAGTGATGCCCATATGACGTGTTTACATGAAGTATTGTAGTGGGGAGAGATGGCGAAGGGGCTGATGGGAAGAGTGCACTTGAACTGCGAGACACCTGGCAGTTCTTGGTCGATTTCTTGCAAATTTGTACGATTTCTTGCAAGTTGTGCTATTTCGTTGTCGTTTACGATTTTTTGCTACTTGTTTTTGTTGAATTGACTAATGTTAATATTCTTCTGTCATCCGGGCGTGAATTCATGCAGTTATTCTTGGTATATATGACATATATATGCCCTTAAAGTCCATGGAAATTCCAATATTAACATGTCACAACCGAAGCGTTGAAGACCTAGACTTGCAGGAACTAGATTTGTAAGCTATAACTATATAAAGGTACAGACTATAAAATTGCACTATTGTAATAAATATTTCAAACTTTACGGCTGTGAACTTTTATTTGCTTGGGCTTTTGTTTACAGTATACATTTAATAGAAATTGCCATTGGCATTGTGATCGACTGATTGAGCTTTCAGCTAAAGAAGTTATTAATACAAAAGCAACTATATGACTTTCTAATCATTTCTCTGTTACTGTTTTATGCTAACTGAGCAACTGATAGCATTTTATTATTCTCCATGTAATATCGAATAACATATTCGAAATATTCGCACTCATAATTTTTCGCGCATTTTGCATGTCATTGAACATCTACAAATGTATTATTATTTGCCAATGGCGTTCAATTCAACTCTTCATCACAAAGTAAGGTTTTACACACAGAGTATATGACGATATGGTAACTTTTTGTATAACATTCCCTGTTTCCCCGCCATGACAGTATACTAGAACTGCCAGGCGCTCCCCAGCACGCACCCTTCCCAACAGCCCCTTCGCGCGTCGGATGCCTACCTGAATAATTCATGTAAGCGCCTGGGTACGAGGCAGGTCCCTTATAAAAACATATTGAAGCAGATGGGTTGCTACTTCCATTTTAGCTTCCGTTTTTCTTATACATGCAAACAGGAGATCGATAAGATCAAAGCAAAGCAAACAGCATGCGCGTACTCACTATTCACTATTATTCTTTGAGGCGGGGTCAATAACTCTTTAAATTTTAGTAACCTGTCTCAATTAACTTCATATTTTCATAAAGTCCACCAAGAGAAACCAAGCCAATTAGATGGTGTTTGCCGTTTCGTACAGTCAATTGTAAATCTTCCTGTAAATGTAGGTTTTGTGAGTTGTAATCACATACAGGTACTCAAATATATACCATTCAATTATACTTAATGCATATCATGCAGTCCTCCATTGATTTACGTTCAAATATATATACCTGTATTTTCATCTCATCAAGGACTAGACAACCCCAGTAGTCTGCTGGTTTTAATTGCTGCCTTTTCGCTTCACTTTGACACCAGTTGATAACCTCCTGATTCCAACCCGCTTCTTGGTTTACCGCGTTCTTGTAATATCTTAATGACAGAAGTTGGATCGAAGTTTTGATACAGGATAAAGTTATTGTATAAATCTTTCCTGAACATGTTAGCAGACAGCAATCGTGAACAAGTTTTTGAGTCAGTAAAATGATACATTAAAATAAATACAAACTGTATTAGACGATTACTTGGAAGGATTATAAATTGGCGAAGGGTGTCGAGAACGTGTGGGTTCTTGATGTATAAATCAAGTGCTAGTCGGACAATTCTACAACGAGAAAGAAAAATTACAATTTTAAATAACAACAGGAAAATCGGTTCATCAACTGTCTCAATAAAATGTAGAAGAAAACGATCTCAACTTTTCGAGATATATATATATATATATATATATTTAGGCAGTTGATGAACCGATATTGTCCTGTTAATCTTCTACATAATTGTATTGTACCTAAAAGCATGTATACTTTCCAACAGCGAAAATGTTTCATTTTTCCCTCAGTCTGAGAAAGAATCATTGTAATTGGTACATTCATTATAACCGGGCTATTAGAGAAAATATAATTACAAATCGAGGGTGCCAACGATGACCATTTGCAGATTTTGATGCTAACTGCTTCATTTGCATGTCGCACAATAGTTTCATGTCTTCCGGGACGTTGTTCTTCAGCCCAATCTCCTCCGTTATCTGCCGTAGGTCATCATTATCGCATTTTTCAAATGACAACATTTCAATGTTCGCCTCGTCTCCGGCCAAATTCTGATTGCAGCTTGTTGGTTTTTCTTTCGGGTTACTAAGTGGCAGGGTTACCTTTATACTCTCCTCGAGCTCACTTATGGAGTTGGCCAATTCCGCCCGCTCTGATCTTTTACGTTTCCTATTCATACATAACTTGTACGCGTATTGACAAGCTTTGCACGCGGAGCTACCACTTGGAATCAAGAGCAAGCATGAATTCGAAATTATAGATGTTGACACAGCACTGGAAGACTTGATGCATACAAATCGGGAGCCTGAAACAGCAATGTCCACGCTTTTCGTATAATCGTCGTTATGGTCAGGAAGCTTTTGGCCTAAGTATAGACAGGTTGCATTAACATGACGTAAAGCCCTTTCAATCGTATGCAGTGAAACGATGATTTTTTCGCTAGAACTTTCAACAACCTTAATTGGAACAGCATCACCGTGTGTGCGGATGACAATGTTAACCGTAGGGTACAAACTAATGGTGATCCCTGGAAAAACACGACACCCTTCTACATCTACATCTGCTTCACCTGTATTTGAGAGTCGCAAAAATTAAATGACGCCTTTCTCCCGAGACGAAAGATCAACAATCCAGTTTTGAAACTTTCTACCAAGTACTCTAATGTCATCAACAGTTGTTTCATTAGGCAATTCCAGCTTTTAGTTTATGCGTGCAGGGGACGATGGGAAGTAAGGTATCACATTGCTGATTATGCTGAAAAAATAGAAATGGTGGCCGTGTAAACACAGAGTGATAGCTTATACCTGTAAATATTGAAATATTTCAGTTGTTTCGGTAGTTTTTATTGAAAATTTTCAGCATAATCAGCACTATGATACCTTACTTCCCATCATCCCCTGCAGGCATAAACTAAAAGCTGGAATTGCCAATTGAAGCCTACGATTTCCTCTTTATCTTTAAGCTTTATTTGGCGCATCTGGAGATGCCTATAATCCGATCCAGTTAACGAAGACGATTTCGTTTTCACAACCTTGTTGCCCCATATCGAAGATAACTATTCTTCCAACTTTAACTTCACTAACTGTTCCCTCTTGAGGTCCGCATATGCTCGACATACCCTGCATAATCGTTTGCGTGGAAGTAAAGCTTCCATAACTTAACTCGTAATTGTCAATCAGCCTATAAAATAAAATTCTATGTTTAGGCTTTTCGTGACCATTACATTCCGATGGGAAATTGGCGATGAAAATTTTAGATGCCATGCAATGAAATTTTGTTACAATCATTTATGCATAAAGTTCCAAGCGGGAATCGATTTGACCAGTCCCAGAAGATCAGCTGGTTTGATTTTCAGGGACTAATGTAAAGTTAATTTCTTGTCGGAAAACTCCTCAAAATGCTGGAAATAGCTTATCTGAGCTTCAAGAAATCCAAATTTTTCGGGGGGGGGGGCATGCTCCCCATGAGCCTATACAATAAAATTCTATGTTTAGGCTTTTCGTGACCATTACATTCCGATGGGAAATTAGCGATGAAAATTTTAGATGCCATGCAATGAAGTTGTGTTATAATCATTTATGCATAAAGTTCTAATTACTTTTGCCGCACCTACCCCTCCCCGCTAGCCGGCAGCATCACATGACAACCCACGTGACTGTAAAATAATATTCTAACATTAACTGCCAATCACGGCGTGTGCTTCTTTTTTGAGTTTTTTTTATGGTTGTTTGCGATCGTTTTAAGCAATGCATGAAGCTATAGAAAACTCAACGTTAACTATAATTAAAGAATCTAAACAGTATAAGCTATTGAAAAAAAATGCTGCGAAAGAGAGTGGCAAAAACAAATCGTACATGGTTATGGGTAAGAAAAAAATATATTGCAAATAACTATCACAGAAAAAAAATTCTCTGCCAGCAGTAAATCACTCCCCCCCCTCTCCTCAAAAGTTAAATGGTCGGCCCCTAATTACTTTTGCCGCACCTACCCCTCCCCGCACGCCAATCACGGCGTGTGCTTCTTTTTTTCAGTTTTTTTTTATGGTTGTTTGCGATCGTTTTAGTTGGATTTAAGCAAAAGTACATCCTCTCAAGAATCCCTTTTTAAATCAGTCTTTTACTTATTGGTATCATTTGAAAAAGAATATGTACTTGCTTTGTCTACACGGCTGGGATCGAATTGCTTTTCAGTGGACCTCAGTCTGGATGAAAATGGATTTGCTTTCACAAACAGAGCGTTTTAAGAAATCATGCATCGTTTTAAAAACACTTGTGTGGACATTGAAACGCATTTACTGTAATAATAATAAACATTTGGATTTTGCCTTTGGAACGGTTATACGGTTGCATGGTTTCAACTTGGTCGCTCGGAAAAAGGAATATTTGTCAGACACTCCAGTCCGCAAACAATCGCCATTTTACTCGGTAAGTGAGTTTTAAAACAATCTCATATAAAGTACAGCATAAATGTTTAATAGCCGTCTGATGTTTGAAATACAAATTTCTGTGTGGCCTGAATCCGTAAATAAACTGATTTCCGAGCGTGCAATATTTTCGAGATAGAGTGAGTCCGTCGTTGCCGGCGTATAGCCGGTACAGTTGTTTTCGAAATATAGGCATAAAGCTATTGTAAAATGCCGGCAATCAAGTTTAGTTCATATACATAACATAAAATAACTAGGCTGAATAGACAGGCTTTGCTCATGCAACTTGTCCTTGCGTATATTTAATATAAATTGTTGCACATGCAGTTTAACATAACAGGATTCTGCCATTGTTCTCGCTTTATTAATAAAACAAACACAAGTTTGCAGATTATTATAACAAATATTTTAAAATTAATAAAAGATATAGCAATTTCATTTACCAAACCAAGCACTTTCTCCTGGACCAAGCTTCTTTCCTTATTTTTGGATTGTTTTCCATTCAAACTATTAATGAAGTTTGTTAAAAGTATTTAAGTTTTACGAGTTTCTCTTTGAAGTACCGTACATTCATATATTTTATCATTTCGCGAATAAAAATACGTGAAATTCATGCGCTATTTTCTATGAGATAAAACACAAGAAAAATGGAATTTACCTTTCAAAACTTTTGCTTGCCTTTTCTAATATCCTCACATTTTTATTTCGTGCTTGAATCGATGAGCTTTTTAAAAAAAAATAGCGTTTTATTTTTAATAACAAGTTTCTCCTTGGGCTTATATGTATTTTATTTATATACAAATACGAAGTAAGTTCGGGAGTGAAAATACGTGAAATTCAGGCGCTATTTTATATGAGAAAAAGCAAAAGATAAATGGAATTTACCTATCAAAGTTGTCTCTTGTCTTCTTTAATATCCTCACATTGTTATTTCGTGCTTTTTAAGGCTTTTTTAAATAATGCAATGTTTTGTTTTAATACAAGCTTCTCCTCTGTTCGCCATGTAGTATAAATGTCTTTACGAAGTGAATTCGGGAGTGAAAATACTTGAAATTTAGACGCTATTTTATATGAGATAAAGTAAAAAACAAATGCTATTTACCTGTCAAAGCTGTTCTTGCCTTCTTTCAAAACTTTTCTTATTTCGCGCTCGCGCAACAAGGTATTTAATTTTTTTCCTCTTTGTATAAATTTCCTAATCTATTTGCGACTTGTTGCTTTTGGAAATTTTTTAAGAAAATCCCCCCCTGGCGGCGAGAAATTTGATGTTCCCGCAAAAAGTTTGTTTATTTTATCTAGCCAATGGGATCTTTAGGATCTGTGACGTCAGGCAGGTTTTGTGCATCCCAACAGCTGTTCGCCATTTCAAGCCCGAAACCGTTTATATTTCCTCAAAGTTCTTGTGTTTGCAATTGTTTTAAAGCGAAAAAATACTTGTCAAATGCTTTAAAGAAATCAATGTTTATTTAGAGTTAGTTTTTTTTCTAAGTTTTTGTGTTTAAGTTGGAGTATTTTCATGTGTAAGTTTGTGTATATAGATCGTATAGGTCAAACGCCGCCCGGAAGTTGCCAACCTTTTAGTATATATATACCTAATCATTGCGATACGCTTCGCTTGCGCACGGCTGCGTTGTTATGTCAGCGGTTGAGTTACCATGGCTATACTTCATGCAGTTAATGCTATAAAGCTTATCAATGATAACAGCTATAAAACGATAAAACCAGCCGCTTATCGGGCAACCTGTGGTGAGAGCTATTCTTGCTGCATCTTTTGCTTTTAGAACAACGTGTTTGGCGACTAGATTTGAAAAGAACGGCAGGGGTCGAGCAAACAATATGGCGAAAACAATGAAGCTTATGAAATGGAACAATAAAGCAATTTACAGGATACTTTCTAACCTCTCTTTAGCTTGGCTATCCATTCATATATGTTAACATATCAAAGATCTTTCTTTTCAATTTTAAAATATTTTCAAACGTTTATTTTAACAAAGGATTTCTTTACATTATTTCCGATTTATATGCAATTTTCGCCTTTCTTGCTCAATAGCGCACCCAAAACAAAGATTCAGGGGGGAGTTTAAAATAGGGGGGGTGTATATAACCAATACCTTACTCAGGGGCCCATGACGGTAGGATTTAGTCAACCATGAGCTAGTGTAAATAAGATAATGCTCGGAGAAGCGAGGTGAACTTGGGCACATATTACGCAAACTATTTTAACGCAATTGAATTTCTAGTTTGATATTATTGTGTGGAGAAGATTCATTTATTCATATTCATCAAAATATTTATTTGCAACGATAATAAAGCAAAACTATATTGCTTCAAATTGGGGGCATTTAAAACCGCGCGAAATTCGCATGATAGGGAATTGGGAACTAATTACCTGCTGTGCCGCCGGAAACGAGGAAAATATCCTAGTAACTGACCACCGTGATGGTTGGAAATAATTGTAAGCGGTTACAATTCTTTCCTGCTTGCTAGTTTTAGTTTCTTTTGTACGTTTAAAGAGGAAGAAATATTTAAAAGCTTAAGTAACTGCGGAACTTTATCTTGCCACCATTTACAATTATATACTTACTCCTTCATTTAAAAATGTCCTAAAGTTTCCTGAACACGAGATGAAGTCAGATCTTAATTAGTCTTTCTCTTATTATTATTTTATTGAACGTTCTCGATAGAGATAAATATTAAGTCAGAGAACGTTAAATAAATAATGTTTCAACCTGGCTGCGCATCCTCTATTTTTTCAAATAGTTTTTCTTTGTTTACATGGCATAATTATGCGTTGTGTTCTTTATATTAACAGAAAAAGCTTGAGTTTTGATAATTAGATTTAAATCTTCCGTTCATCACAGACGTCGACTATAAAACAAGTTAGATTACTATTTTTACACCTACTCCCGACAGGTTACGGGCATGCATACTTGGATCTCGTTCTTTTCTTCAAAATTACGCATATGGTTTGGTAACACTAAACATACCCACGCATTTCCACTCGTTTCGATTACTCGCAGATCTACCCGATCAACTTCAACTAACACAGCGAAATATGCTATTCTAATTGTAAAACTACTACCTACCAGGCACCCTACCTTATTAGATCGTAGGCTATCGAATATGGCATACACTAGCTGATGAACTAAACCTCAACATGGACAACTTTAGTACTACTTTTAAATCAATGTTATTCAACTATTGCTATACCTCGCTAGCTAAGCATTAATTATTCCAAAAAAAACACTCGAACCTTTAAAACTATTTTTCTTAAATGTAACTCAGTTCGTAACTTGTCATGTCAGATATAAACTATGAATGTTGACATTGTAATTTGTAATTGAATAGTACTAATATAGTAACATTAGGGAAGTAAGACAAAACCTAACACAGATTGGTCAAAATCGGAAGCAGTTTAATGTTCTCTTTTTGCAAGAAAGTGCAGCAGAGGATGAACATGTATATTATAAATTATCTGAACTAATATTTGAGTACAACTGATTTCAGATATGTTTTTGCTCTCATCACAGTCACAGGATAAATAAATCAATACAAAGCCCGTTTGAATTACATTGACTGTCGCCAATGCTATTCGAATGGGTTTTGCCTTTATTTACTTGAAAAAGGCAAAGCGAAAACATGTGATATTTCACCGGTTTGCCGTAATAGTCTAGGACCTGTATATGAGTTTGT